TTTCTTTAAACATCATGGAGGTTGTTTCACCCATTTATATATATGTTGCAATGCTTAGAGAGATTTGATAATGCTGAATAATTAAAATATGGTGATTTGGTTCAGGTTTCAAAAAATATTGAAGAGGAAAAAACATAGTAAATATATAAAACTAACAAAACCACCAAACCTACTTTATAAATGAACAACTGAGGAAGGGAAAGTAATTTTCACTGAGTAGCATCCTGATGCATAGTTAAATATAGCAAGGCAGCACTATTCAAAATATGGCAACATATTCAAATCCAAAAGATAATCCTCCTGAATAAATCTTGTGCATCAGACTCACAGAGACATCCAGAATCACTGGCCTGTGGCATCTGCTTATTACCTTAGAAGAAAAAAGATCTTAAAAAAAAATTCTTTAAGATCAAAACTACTGACAGCATGCATTTATAAGTCATTTCCATTAATATAGCTGTTTTTTTCTTTTCTTTTATTTTTTTCTTTTTTCTTTTTTTTTTTTTTCCCAGAAATTAAAACAGGAAGTCAGGAGATTTTAAAGACAAATTCAATGTGTTCAGAAAAACTGATACATCTGTATATCTAGAAATGCTCCCACTGAACAAAGGTCAGTTTCTGTGCTGCACACAGTACAGCAGCTTGACAGACTGATACACCCAGCCCTGATTGCAGAGAGATTTTCACTGCAGCACCTCAAGAGTCTTTTACATTTCTAAACTACATGGTCAGCCTCAATAACATAATAAAGTTAGAAGTGATATGGAACACCCAAGTGTGGTGGATCAGTGTCAGGAAAAGCACAAAAAAGAGAAGTCACTATTCTTAAAATGTCGTCCCCCTTTTTACTCCCCTTCTTCTTTTTAACCGTGATTCTCTGGATGAACTGGCAAATGCTTTCAGCTATTTCCAAGTAACACAAAAGTAAAATAGAGTTGGGGCAAGGTTCCTTGGCTAGATTTGTAAGCCCCCCTCTGCACTGACATCTAAAATTTCCAGATATAAAATGAAAGCTTGAGAACATGAGATTTACTCTTAAGGGAAAATAAAATAATAAGAATAAAAAACTTAGCAAAAATAGAATGTTGAAGCTGCTTTAGATGTAAAATACATGCCATAAACTCTATCCTGATTTTAATTCTTGAGCCATGTCAAATCTATGGTGGAATCTCTGGCTTCGTTGTAGTTTTTTTTTCTCTGTGATTTCATATTTGAAATATTCTTTAAGATTATATTCTTTGATATCTTTATATCAATAAATATCTTTAAGATATCTTTAAGATTATATATTCTGTGATATAATTCAAAAAAATTAGTGTTTACCCTATACTGCTTTATCTTATTCTAATGTGTACTATGTACTTAATGGAAGAAGTAAGAATGCATGGCTTCTGTTCACAATTGCTCTCATTTCCTTGCTATAATTATGCAAACTTTTTAAAGAGACAAAGAGAGAAGGGGATTAGAAAAATAATTCAAAAAAATATTGTATAACTCAAACATTTTGTTTCTGGTTATTGCATTTCTGAGAAATGAACTTGCACTTTATACTTCATTATATCACAATATGTTTGTTTCTCTGAATATTCAACATGAACTGAAAATGAGGAACATTTAGGGGTGTCTGCAGGAGAAATGGAGCTGTAGATACCATCCTTACAGAAGTAAAAAGAGGAGGATATATTTCTGACTGTAGCAAAATTTGGAAGACACATTCCCATGACTCCTATTTGGTTTAAACATTGCTGCTGCTTCCTCATAAAGGCTACAAATGCAATTGTACATGTTTTAGAAAAACAAAATCCCAGATTTTAATGCTTTCTCTTCATTCTGGGAGCTTAAAACCCCAAACCCCTGGAGATAATAAGCATCTAATTTCAAAAGTTCATATCTTATAATTTCCTAACTTTAGAAAAATAATTCAGTAAGTTGTGGAATACGAAACAATAAAAGCAAAACAAAACCACAGAAATGGAATATACAGGCATAGGGCACTGACAATTTTTTTGATAAAGCTTCAGAAATCCCAGTACTAGTGAAAGACTCTGGTTGCCACAGAAGTTGTCAGTATTCTGGAAAAACTGCAGCTGTACTTTGAGTCCCGCAGACAGCTAACTTCTGACAGCTGTGAATGGTTCTTTGTAAATGTAGACTTCTGTCTTTGACTCAAAGCTGAGCTTCTGGAAATACTCCAAAACAGCTACTCTTGTGTGGCTGAAAAATGCTCCAACTGCATGCTAGGAGACGGCATGGCAGACTACTCATCTAAACGTGTGTAAAATCTACTGAGGCTTTATTTTTCTTTCCCTATATCAGGGTTGCAAGTTGTCTGTTTTGCACTTCCTGTATGCTTAAACCTAGCGAACATCAGTAGGCAGAAGGAGTACCAGAGAAATGCAGGGTCAAAACACGTGACACCACACTGCTATTGAGTTAATGTAAACGGTAACCTAGGTTTCAAGGACTCAGGCACCCCACCAGAAAAATAACTCAAAATGTTAAAAGATGGTAGAAACAAAAACTAATTTTTTTAACAGCATGATCAATACACATGAAACAGTATTTGTTTTAACAGTATCTTTTCAATCAGTGTTAATTTCCATTAAAATTTGTGAGATTTCAACAGTATTCTTGATAAGGAATGTAATTTTTAAAATTGCCCTTCATCATGAATTTTCTTTTTTTAATCCCTTTCAGTTAAGGAAGCCTTTTGATCATATTCTTGATTAGTTTTTCCCTATCATGGGAATGACACACTTTAAGCATGCACAAAATGCACAAAAATCTCATCTAGAAGGGCATCTTCTTTACTGTTCTGGGATCAAATTAGTAGTGGGGAATGTAGAGAAATTATCCTTATATTCACATATCCTGCTTGTAGGCAAAGAGGAAATGCAGCCACTGTGTCTTGGGAACTGTATGATCATTTTTCTTCTCTGCTTGTGCAGTATCTTAAAAAAGGCAGATGACTGAGGAACGATGCATTACTACTGGGTAGCAGGGCAGACATTTGCCCCACTCCACAAAAGCTATACCTGTACAATCAAGGAGAGACATACATAGGAGATAGATATTTATATGGTCTCCAATACACACACATGCACACATATAAATATATCCATATAGAAGAGTTACACCTCTAGGAATTTCATTCACACTCTGCCATCTGCAGAGACACCCTCTTGATGTTTGTCTTGAACTGGTGCTGCAAGCATCTTCTTCTCTTATCACAAAACGATCAATTTTCTGTGGAGAAGAACCTTATTCAAGGGTCAGGCTGACCCCAAAAATCTTTAAGGAACAGAAAAAACACTGACTTTGAAATATGATGTGACCATAGGCTAAATAAAGCAAAGGAAAGCATGTGTATTTGCCCTTGTATGTACTATCACATATCTGCAATACAGACAATTGAAATATAATACAAGGGTATACCCCTAAAAAAATGCATTTAAGAATTAAAATTGTCCTGCTTTAGTACAATTTATTCAGGAAATACAATTTTTTAGTATTTTTCACTAATATTCACTAATTTCAGCAGTAGGTATTTTAGAATATATTCAGATTTTTTTTTCAGTATATATTAACTGGCTGATTTTAAATCCTAAATTATCCTCATTACAAAGTTAATTCCAGAGAAGTAGCAACTTCCATGCTGTGAAACAGAATCTTGAAGTCTTATTCAGTTAAAAGTTTTGGCAATTATAGTCGGGTGCATTTACAAATCCTGACATTTTAATGGTGAGCAGCTTGCATAAGTGATCAGCTGGAAACATATAATGCCACACACTAGAACTCATCTGGATCTCAAAGTTCATCTCACATTAATCTTCAGAGTCTCTGGGATTGGTTCCTATTTACATGAGAATATTCAAGAGTCTGATAATTATGATCACTTATTCTCAACTGAAAATGTAAGATAGGCATGTGGAGTGGAAGGAAAGGAAATAATATCTATACCCTCTATTCTGACAGAACCAAAGAGGATTTTCCTCTTGACTGCAAAACTATCTTTTCAAGATATTTGCAAATCCTGTGTTCTTTAAAAATGTATTTTTTAACCCGAAGATATAACTGCAAGCATTTACCTTCAGTTTTGAGTCATTTCACATCTTCAGTAAAAAAGTCACTGAAGGAAACTATAACATTGTTCATCAGTGTTGTCAGTCTGTGAAGGCTCTGTCCCAACATTCTTCCTAACACTATGTTAAGCATCACATCTTCATACAGCTCTTTTTATATTGTTAACTTGTATCACTGAAAAAGTAACCCCGCTCTTGCTTAGAATTTGAAAAGGTCAACTACCTTATATAGAGCTACCATATAACCAAACTCAGCGCTGAGAACACTCAGAGTAAAAAGGCATTCCAGGAGTGGAATTCTGAGTTAATTCTGCTCAGATCATTTGAAGGGTTAACTGATTACTATAAATGGAAAATGTCAACTGAAAGAGAGGAAAACAATTAAATCTTTAGATACATAGAATATATACATATTTATATATATATATTTTAATAGAATATAAAAGCTTAGCCTGCTACACAAAGTGCTTTCTCTGAGTAAGAAGTGTGATTTTGAAACCTGTCAATTTGAAGGGACAATTATAACCATGTTATCAAGTTCCCAGGAGTTCATAGGTCATAATTTTTTATCACTGAACTTCTGTGTTCTGTGTTTCTGTGTGAAAGGAGTAGTCTCAACACATTTTACAACAAACTAGAATGATGTGAGTGGTATACTCTTCCTGGAACTCATCCCTTGAATGAGATATATGTGACAGATGAGCCAAATACTCTGTTTTTAATGACCTGTAACCCCAGTAATTTAGTTTCAAATTACCGAGGAACTCAAGATCACAGAGCTGGAGAAAAATAAAAATAAAACAAAAAAAAAGATAAACCACAAGATATTAAGCATAGAAAATATGTTTTATTTAATAAAATAAATATAGGATTCATGACATAATCAAATCATATTAGATGTTTTACAAAGAAACCAGAATAATGCCATAATCAAGAGACTAGCAACAACAGAATAACAAGAAAAAACAAAGTAAAAATTCTGTCAGCAGTTTTCAGAATGCTGAAAAAAAACAAAACAAAACAAAACCCCTACAGTGCTCCAAGCCAAAATTCCTTGATATTAATTTAAAGCATTTAGACTGAATATGCTGTGGGCCTTTATCAAAGTCAGTGCCTTTTTACAGCAGTTGTTTTTAATCGCTTTTCAATAATCAGTTTTATAACTGATAACTTTATAACTGATAGAAGTATAGAGCTCACCTGTTTCCACCCTCCTCAGGATTAGTGTAAGTGCCATTATCTGATTAAGATGTAAAGAGATGAGACCAGGACATGTTAGGTATAATGAGTCATAATGTTAAGGCTGTCAAGAGGAGATATTCCTCACTCTCTGAATTGGTATAAGCATCATAATGTCTATTTTCTGGTTGGACCGTGTATTTTGAAGGACATGACAAGAAAAGACCTCTTACAAGATCTTTCTGTGGTATATATTAGGCTGTAGTACGTGAACATGCGGCATGTCACCCAGTCTAAAGAGTTAAATATTTGACACAAGACAGTTTCTGATTCTCCATGCTCCAAAAAGAAACTGACCGCAGAAAAGTTAGAGTAGGTCAAAAACAGCACTGGGAAAAATCTCAGCAGAACAATGAAGAGATTGGAAGTCAAGAGCTGCTTTTAAGTATAAAACTTCTCAGCAACCAAATGTGAATTTCTCATGTGCATTGTACTTCCTTTGGGAGATGTGAAGGAGCAATGTAAGGCTAATTAACTCTTAAACAGGCTTGTTCTGAATTATAATACATCATGGAATATTTTGATATGGGTTAAGAAAAAAATTTCTTTTAGCAGACTGACTCAGTCAAACATAATTTTTGTCTGTGTCAGAAACTTTTGTCCCTAAGAGTTGTTAATTCATCTGGTTTGTGATTAAAGACTTCCCACAGACACAATCTCAAACTCAATTTTTTTATTACTAACCTTTAAAGAATATAACATAATAGTGCAGAACTTTCATGTAAGCTGCTTCTCTTAATTTCCAGAACGGAGGTTAGCAGCATGGATGCTTACTCATTTTTAGTGAGTTCTGGCACAGCCAAAAATAGATTCCAGAACCTGACTTCTTCCCATCTAGCATTCAGCCCCTAAATGAGCCTGTAAATTATTTTAGATACTTACTTTCCCTGAGGGATAAAGGGATAGTCAACTGAAAGAAATAGCTTTCTTGAGAGGATGATTCAGATCTTAAGGAGGCTTTTAACACCTGTTTACCATTAAGTACAGGGACAGCCTAGAGCAGATAAGCCTCCTTTAAATTATGCTCCAGAACCTACTTGCTGTACTTGAATTTTTCCAGTAAGAACAGCTCATCTCGCACTGGAACAACTTCTTGCCTCTTCAGGATTAGGTGTCACAGAGAGCTCTTCTGAGCGGAACTGTCTTCACTTACATTCTGAGATATCTGAATTCCACCTCAGAGTCCTTTAAGAATGCAAGTTCCTGGATTTATCCACAAGTTCATCTCAAGATGAATTAATCTCAAGATGATTTAATATATGAGTTCACTGAAGCTCTGACTTCTGAATCTGTTGTTATCAACAAACTTCTATTGGAAGTTATGCAAAAAAAGGGGATAAATGACAATGGCAACAATAAACACCACGTGATGCATTTTTTTAGGTGCTAATTTATCTCATGTACATGTCAGATCGTTAAGCAAACTCTTTAAAGCTTTGGCAGTTTGTAAACTAGCAGCTTGAATTAACAGTTTCATTCATGAAAACAATTGAAAGAATCCTATCCTTAGTGGAAGAGTATTCAAGGCAAGTATTCAAGGAAATAAATAAGTTTTTCAGGTGTGCAAAGGATGAAGAAAAATTGTATGGCATTAGGAGAGAGCTATTTCTTATATAAGATAATATATAAGGGTATATTTCTAGCATGCAGATTTTATTCCTAAGAAAAATTAAATGATATATTAAATAACGATACAGTAATTTGGATAATAGGTGTTTTGTGGGGTTTTTTTTGTGAAGTGAGAAGATTCATTACTTTTTACTCTACATAAGTAATATATTTTATATTCAGAAATACAGTCTTTATTTGAGAAAGTATGCTGTAAGCAGCAGTATATGTTAAATGGCTTGAGATTATATATTTGTCATATCCAGAAGGGTCAGAAGGTTTTTCATGACTGTGCTACATTCTTCCAGCTAGGAATTTGGAATAAAGATAACACGTGGGACACACAAGTCAATTAAATCAGTTTTTGTCAAAAGGAGGAATGCAAAACAAAAGGTCTGTGTTTTACAGTAGAATTTTGGGTGTTAGTGCAGCAAATTAAACTGCAATCAGCAGTCGGTACTGATAAATCACATGCAGTTATTGTTTGGAATATCCTGTCACATCTGCAAATTTCATAGGCAAGGGATGACAACATTTTTCTGTATTTTTTTTTATACTTTGCCTTCAGCAAAACAAAGACACTTATTCCATTTCATCTTGGGTGTGAATGTTAACCACTGAGCTCTATTAAGTCTATACAAATAAAAAAAGTGCTGGTTAAAAATGTTACTGAGAACAAAGAAATATGTAATGAAAGGAAATAAAATACAAATTTAATTTGCTCATTTCATTAAATATATAATTTGTCAAATAAACAGGAATTTCTATTATAAGAAAATGTAAGCACAAAGCAAGGAAATTGATTTCCTGTTATGGCATGTACATGAGATTTTAATCAATTTGTAACAACAAAAAGGAAATAGACAAAAACCCTTTCTGATACAAAAGCCTGTTATCACACCAATCCTGATAGCTGTTCCATAATCCATATATTCATGCACGTCAATCTAACAGAAAAACAAACAGGGAATATATATTATTACAGATACAAATAGATAAATTGGTTGTACAGAAATTTTCATGAGGGCTTGCTAGCAACAATATGAAATAATTTTTGATAGAGAACTTGGGGTTTTTCCTGCAATATTAAATTTTTAAAAGAAATTTGCTAATGCAAGTCTGAATTTTGATACAATATCCACCTCATTTCACCTCAATGGAGGTGATATTGATACAATATCACCTCCATTATTAGCAGCACTGTATTTCCCAGAAATCCACATCTATGTTAGAAAGACTACAGATGACATAAAGTTTAAATATGTTTTTACCTCTTTATAGTTATATTCAGGTATCTCCAGTTTTATACATTGACTGACCATTCATTCAATATAATTATAATAATAATTATGTATTAAGTCCACTTGCTTTTAGATAACAGGCACTAAGCTAATGCATTACATCCCCTCAATCAGTAGAGAAGGACATGTATTTAGAGAAGACTTCAGGTAATTAGAACAATCCATGAGAGACGTCCATCTCACATCAGTATCTATAGGAAAGTATTTGAGATGAATTGGCCCTGATTTAGCACCATGGCTGCCTAGTAAGACTATTTCAAAACATAGTACTCATCTCCTTTAAAAAGTAAGTTTCATTTTATAAAGCTATGAAAATATTTCTTGCTTTTCCTACAATAATTGGGATATTGTTCAAGTGGAGGGGATTATTTAATATAATTTTATTTAATTTAGTAATGCATACATAATGCATTTCAGAAGTAGGCAACATTTTGTAAAGGCAGACAGCTTCTTAACAAATCTTGAAGCTTGCAGAACCTATATAGACTTCAAATGGTAAAGTTCCTCCTAGGCAAGGTAGACTTCATGATTTAGGCACTGATACTCTTACTTAATAAAATTCTCTGTTGCCACAATTTTCAGCCATGAATTTGCATTAAAGAAAAAAAAAAAAAAAAAGGATTGAAGCAAGACATAAAAGGACTTCAAATATTTCCAACACATTACTATATTAGGAATCTGATTCATATTCTGGATGAGATACTGAAAGGGAGCTCTGAGAAATCAATTAATTTAATAAGGTATTCAACATTCCACATGCAACATTTCAGTTAACTGATCTCACTTTCCTTCCATTCCTGAAATAAAAGACTGAGGATAATATTCCCCTTCACCTCTCTTTCATCTGCTTTTTCTACCATGGCTTCAAATTTACAGGTAGCCAAGTACAGTTAAGTAATTTCCCACTATTCAGTTACCACTGGATGTCAATAAGACTGACATTCTCACTCCAAACTATTTTCTCTAAGTCACAGATTATAGAACAGCACTATGGATTGATGCTACCTGATCAGATATGTCTAGTGGAGAATGCCATCTGCAGCTACTGGGTACCACCATAAGAGCAATAAACATGGTAAAATCCCATGTGGCTTTCTACTCAGGCTTTGTAGGATGTTTATGTTCCACAGGAATATGTATAGAAATCTAGAGCTGAAATTACATTAAGGCATAACTTTCACACCACCTCTATGCAGACATAACCTGCTTTTCAGACTTTCTTCCTCTGAAGATTCTAGCTCTATACTGATCTTTACCAAAGGGTGTGAGAAGGTTCTTGGTGTATTATAACTCGTAGAGCTTGCATTCTATGAACAATGCTTGCAGGGCAATTTGATATTCTTAACTAAGGTGTATCATATAGTTATGATGACTTTATGCAATACAATGTATCTTTAGTGTCTTGCAAGATATCTTTATGCTTTATATAGGGAGTATACACAACATAGAAGTTTTAAGACATATCACTACAATTTTAATTGAAACTCATAGCTTCATTGGTAAACCAATAAAACACTTGCATTACTCAGTTATTTTAGTGTTATACAACACAGATTCTTATTTGTGTTTTCCAGCTGTCTACAATAATGTTTAATATCCATTGCTCACAAATCTCATGTTCTATTCCTTCCTATTGAGTGATAAAGCACCAGTTTTAGTCCTTCCATTGCCTACAGTAAAAAAGTTGCAAGCAATAGAAACTCATGTAGCCTAATCCCAGCCTGTGGTCCGAAGACTATGGGAACCCACTACAGTATCTTTAAAGACATGTTTTCATTTTTTTTAATAAATTTGTCTCATAGCTTTATTGGTCTGTCAAAGTCTTATCAACTGAAGAGATACACAGAAATTTAACTTAATTCAAAATAGACAAGTGGAAATCCAAAACAAATACCAGATTATCATATCAGTGTTGAAGTACACAAGTTTAATGAAGAATATGAAGCTATGATTCATTAATGTATTCACCAATACATAAGTTTTCAGTGCAGTGGACTTGCAACTCACTCTTGCATTAGAAGACTATGGCTCAAATTTTAAATGAAGACCATGACTCCCTTTAAACTAGTAGAGCCATTCCAACAAAATTCTGCTGACAGTAAATACCTTTAAAATAAAACCTCTTTCCATAATTCCAAATTCTTAGACTATATGTGATAAAGAAGTCCAGAAGTAAAGTGTTTAACAGTGCTGACATCTCTGAAAAAGGGCTATTGTTCTCTACAAGTTCAAAAAAAGTAAGCTCGGAATTACGGGTTCAGAAAAGTAGCTTTTCTCAAGTCATGTTTTGAATGGTATTGAGAAGGATGAATGCTTGGTTTTTTTTGCTTCCTTGTCTTTTAAATAAAGGTCTGTATTTTGAAAAAGAGAACACACTACTCAACAACCCTGTTTTCTGGACAATATCAGTATAATTCTCCTCTCATTGTACATTCAGCCTTTTGATGTCAGAGAAAATTATTATTTAATACTCTGAGGTGTCTGTTCAAGTATCCTATTTATTATAACTGAAAGAAAATGTCTCTTTTAATGTTTACTTTTATTTTTTGTTATTATTATTATTATTAGGCAATAATAATAATTTTAAAAGCTTTCATGTCATAATAGCTGCTGACTTTGATTAAGCAACTGTCCCACTAGAGGCATGTTTGCATAACATTTAATAGCCACTTGATTATGAAAAGAATTGGGGTCTAAACCACATTATTTTCCATTACTAGTGATCTATTTAAACATTAATTTTAAGGGTTAGAGGGCTGCACAATCCATCAAAGGCTCTTAATTCCTGAAACATTCCATTTATCAAGATGTTCCAGAGAAGCTAATCACAGTACACATATCTTCATCATTCTTTGACATATATAATTAATTGCATTTACTATGTGAAAACCCATTTTTTATACCAAATGGTATGAATAATTTTAAAATTATAATAAATTTACCAAACATAAAGCAGACTGAAATGTTTTCAGAAGATTTTTTCCTCTATCTATCTATCTATCTATAGATATATATATAGATAGATATATAGTCAGATAGATAGACAGTCTTACAAAAAGACTATATAAGATCTAAGAGCACATTATTATCCATTTTTCTTTTTAAAAAAGTTTGTTCTGAAATATAACTGCACAATCATTAATCCATTCATATTTTCCCTTCAGTAATATTAAAGACAGTTGTCAAACAGAGCTCAAAATCGTGAAAGTAGTTTACTATCATCTTTTCTGCTCCTCCAGCTCAATTTCTTCTCCTCCTTCAGTGAATCTTTCCATTGACTTAAGTGCGGATTTTCCCGCACACATACAGGGACACCTAGCGGCAGAAACTGATGAAAACTCCCCTCTAGGAAGACCTGGAGGAGCCACCAGTGGTATGAAATTCAGGTCACGCCGAGTAGCCAAAACATGCAAATTCAGTTCACTCTGAGGCTTTTGCACTTTTACTGGAGAGACTCTACTTACTTAAAAATACAAAAGAAAACAAAATATTCCTCACTTTCCTTTAATACATCATAACACAGTTACGATTTCTGATTATCACTTTGTAAATAAATTTTCATATTTATTTTAAGTAAGGAGAAAGCTGGTAAGAAACAGCCCGTGAATGTATGTACATAAATATTTGAAACTGACACATGTATTATGGTTATATTTTGTAAATATGTGTTAAAACATATGATGTAGAAATGTGTAGGAGTACCTTCGTCTTCTTGAAGATAGATTACGGATTTATCTTCTTATTGTATTAATTACTGAGTGTTCAAATAGATTACAAAAAAATATTTAAATGGCAAAACATAAAGCTAAGCACCTGTATCCACTTAAAGTTATTCAGGGTGAACTTAACAAATAAACAAACAAATAAATAGTCTTACCTATCATTTACAGAGCTGAGATCCAGAAACCATTAAGACTGCCAAAGTTCTTGCTGGATACATTCATGGGCCTCAAGGATCAACATTTCTTGCTGTATTTCTTGCAGCAATCTTTTTTAAAGACATAAGAAATTACATTTCACACGGTAATGCTGTTACTACTGAATCACTTGGAAGTCTAATTTATACATAATCTCCGATTTTTAATTTCTGACTTCTGCTGCTTTTGTCGCTTGTGAGGAACAGTTCAGTAGAAATTCTCATGGGATACTTAACTTCCCCTAAGTCAACAAGGATGAGACAGGTCAGTCTCTGTGTTTGGGGATAGTATACTGATTATATTCAAAATTCTGCTAACTAATGTGGTGTAGAAATTTAAAGCCTGCTCCTTCTATTGAATGTTTTAACCATTAAGGCAGAAAACACCTGGTAATTCTCTGAGTTTCTCCTCTTATATCTATTTTGCTTAGTGTAAGAAAATTGAAGCAGAAAGAATAGTGTAGTAGATTTGTACCTTAAGGTTACCCCTGAATGCAAGGATATTAATAAACCTCTTTTCCCACTCCACAACTTCCACCAGAAAAACCAAGAAGCTATCCCAGAGGAATTGTTCAGATCCAGAAGAAATCAGAATCCTTTTATTTCAGTTATTATAGATAGATTAGGTACCTTCTATTAGACATATTTGACATGAAGTAATTTTAATCATTTGATAATTCTAAGTGTAGCAAGGAGATAAGAGAAATGTAAAGTCAGAACTAATGTGTAATGACAGAACAGTTTAGGAAATTTCAGAGAGATTTTTTGCAGTATGCACTTAGTCCATGCCATATTCTATTGAATAGTCTGAAAAATTAGCTAGTATTTTTGAGATAATCTCAAAAACTCAGTTGAATTTGCTTTTCATAAGTAGTAACAGAAGCATATTGCTGAAAGGGACTATTCACATTTCTACATCCTCCAAGCTGAGAGTTACAATATACTAAATATTTAGTTAAAAACAGCAACCAAAAAAAATGAGAGATCTACAGAACTTTTAGTCTAGATGATACTACTCACTGACTCAAGACCTTCCATTTGCAGTAAAGAAGAAGAGTCTAACCTCAAATCTTCTTTTGGGAAAAAGGAAAAAGGGAGGAAGAAGACAAAAAGGGGCACTGCCAATGGTCTGTGGAGACCCCCTCAAATAGAAGGAATGTTAGAAATTCTTTGCAGAATGTTCTAGGAGTTGCAACATGTCCCACTATACAAAGCAGAACAAAAGAAAGAAAGAAATTAACATAACTCAGAATCTAAATTATACAATAAAGGGAGAAAACATCCTACCTGACCTGAGAGCCTGCAGTAAGCCCTCAGGCAGAAAAGAGATACAGTATAAATGTAGAAAAAACATATTCCAACTTCTTCAAAAACCCCTTTCCAGCTTGCCACAAATGTCTCTTTCCTAACAGGAACTGTCCCATTTAATTACACAGATTTTTATTTTCAAGTCCTATTTTAAAAAAACTTTGTTGGCCTGGTTACCTGCTTGGAAGACTTCTCCAGTCTCAGACAGTCAGTAAACATCTACCCTTTTCTAGGTTTTATAATCAATATATTAGCATTTGATGGCATGCCAGCATCCCTCTTTAGTTCAAATACATTCTGGTTTGGTTTTTGTTTGTTGTTGTTCTTTGGGGTTTTTTTTTTCCAAGCATTTAACTAAAAATGCATTTGTAAGGACAAACATGTTATTTCAATATCTATTTGACTATGTATTCCATTTTCATTTTTTAAATATCTCTTCTGTAGACACATTTTCCTTGCCCTGATTTACCATAGTTTCTTCTTGATCTTTAAACTTCATTTTTGTATCTTCTTTGAATGTATGACTAGAACCATGCATAATACACCAGGAACACGTGAAAAAGCACATCCTTTACAATACTAATAATGCCTTCTTACCTATTATGACATCTTGCCTAATACATCATAGAATCACATTTTTCTTTTCCCTTTATATAAGTACTTCATTTATAACAGCAACCAATAACCCCTTTCTGACTGACTACTAGCTTTAAATTTCTGGAATTTTTTTATAGACTTGGATCTTCCCAGTTTATAGCAAAAGTTTCCATTCATGAGTTTTCAGAATGCATTATTCAATTTTACACTATTTCTATCAGCCTAGACCAAAGCAATATACAGATACACATTAATTGAATTTAGAAATATTGGTATGTTAAAATATAGACATTAAGACTAAAATTGTAAAATATTTACACAGTACATATATATACCTATATATATATATGCACATATATGTATTTCAACACATCTGTTTCTCAGAAAGACCTCTAATTTTGTCCAAAACTTCTGTCCAGACGCCACTTACCTTACACACTTAAATCAGTGCTATGGGTGTTACAAAGGAGCTGATCCTTTCAGTATTCTAGGACATAAAACTTCTGGACCAAATGCTTGTGCTGTGATACACTGAGGATGTGGTTTCTCTTACCCTATTCCTGCTTTCACTACATATCTAAATTTACATATGTTATTACCAGAAACAGAGGCAACTTTTCTGGTACCTCTCTAGTCTTGGCTTACTTTATTCTTAATGTCCACCCCATCCTTTAACAACAATCCCACTTCTTAAGTTCTCATTTTATTAACATTGTTTAAGAATTTTTTACTCTATTTCAGGTTTCTGTGAAAGTTCTGGTTTAACAAAGTTTCTGATCATTCTCAGTTTGGTTTTATGCCTTCTAATTATTGATGCAGATTTCTTCTTGCTAATCAATATATCTTTTTCATTCTCTTTAGGTTTTGTGCTTACTCTTAATAACTTGCTTAAGGCTTTTACCTTCTGGGGATTCATTTCCATTCCAGCTTAGGTGGGCTATTTTGTTTCTCTCCTTCTCCTTCACTATAAAAATTAAATAATATTTTCTCTGTCTATAGCATCCATCTTATCCGAATTCTTCTTCCAGTACTCACTGAAGATTTTATTTCTCAGTTTGCCTTTCTGAAATACTGGCCTCCAGTTACAGATCCTTCACATTCTTCTGTCTTGAAACTTCTCATGAAGTAGAAAAGCTTGAAACCATTATATTTAAGATTATTTTCTATCATTAGTTTATCCTGCAGATCCTATAATTTACTAAAATTTCATCTGAATTATCCTTTTCTCTTGCTTGTTCAGTATTTGTTCCATAAAAGAACCTATCCTCTATCTTGTTCAAATTCATATCATCCCCAACATTGAATTTTTGCTGATGCTTACCCATTAGAAATCCCACAAATCTGCATGATCACACAATCTCAGCTTTACCTTTATTCTCCCCCCATACTTGTGTCCATTATTTTCCAGCTCAAATCTGTACCAGCAGATTCATAATAAGTATAGTAAGTATTAATTAAGTATTTTTCCTACCTTTTGCTCAATGATTTTCATTCAAGTGGACACTATCTCATCTTCACCCTCAAATTTAACATGTTTATTGCACTATTGTTAACAGTCTTCACTCCTTAACATGTTTTATGGCATTATTAACATGAAACTATTTCAACACTTTCTGTCTTTCATAAAGAGTGTCTATCCTTCCGTTCAAATATATTTCACTCAACAACTTTGTTACCTCCAAATTCCTGTTTTGCTGTGTCTGATTCCATGACAGGTGCCAATGTTATAAATATATATATAAATATATACATATAAAAGTATGAAGTATAATAGAAAGAGGGTAGACATGAACATTTACAAGCTGTACATATAATGCATCTATGCTTCATATGCTTTTGTTGAACTATCTTTACTCTTGCTCCCTCCTTACTCAGGTCCCTCTACTTGTATTCCATACGAGGATTATACAAATTATTTCCATCTTTCCTCTTGAGTATTTCAGTTTAAAGGAGTTTAGGATTTTCCAGTTTAATAAAAGGTAAGTGAAAAATAAATTAACAAGAGGAAACTATAATAAAAAATTAAATATTTTTCACAAATTTAGTATCAATTAGTATTATTACTGCCTGATGTTTTTTTTTGCTTTGGTTTAAAATGACAGTTCTAGTTCAAATATTCAGATATAGCTTTTCACTGCCAGAAATACTTCTGGACTAAGAATAAGAATGAATGGAAAAACAGCATGATAGTTCTACACTAATAACTATTTAAATCTCCCACACACAACTAAAACCATCTAGCAGTCTAACAACTTGGAAGTAAGATTTTATTAAATCAGACTTTCTACTTATTATGCTTTTTAATATCTCACTAGTACAAGATCAGAAAAATTAAACTGAAATATATCTACAGTGTTGACTTTAACATGATAGCTTTTAACACGATTTCAGACTTATGAAATGTCAACTTCTTCAAAACAGTTTCAAGAAGGAGTTAAGCTCAGCCTTGCTGACAAGGTTATGTAAAATATCTTTCTCTGTTATGAATAAAAAAGTATTTATTTGTGTCTAATTTTGTGTGTCAGAGAGAAAAATAGCATAGAAACACAGGCAGATGCTATAAATATGACAAGCCTAAAAAATGCAAGCATATATGCATAGAACCCCATGTATTCAAAATGCAGGATTATTAATTCAAAAGAAAGATATTTTTCAAAAATAGTGAGGCCATAAGAAAGTCCTGTTCGGTTTAGAATCTGTGATTTTTTGTTGTTGTTGTTGCACTATCACAAATTCCATGTTGTATATTAGAAAAGCTTAAAAAAGTGTATGTAGGGGGGAAAAAACTGTATGGAGTGTGGTTTGGTATTTTTTCCTGACTGAGAGTAGCACCTTGGAACACAATCTAAAGGCATTCCACTGAATTAACTGGGTTTGCATCGAAACAGGAAAGTCAGTGATCCTTTAAGAATAAGGTAAGTCCTCTGTCCCACTGAGAAGATTTCCAAGAGCTTCTACAAGATCAGGGAAATTACCTGGTCTATATGAGAAATTTGTCTTCCATCCAAATACCAGACCTTGCTCACTTCAGGCCTAGGGAAACAAGATTTGAGTCACACTTCTTTTATGTTTGCAGAGAAGATGAATATGCTTTTAAGGGAAGGCTGAACAGTACAAAAGAGATGATTTTTTAAGAATAACTTTGGGGTTTAGCATGTTGGGATGTTAAGGTAAGAGTTAACAGAGGTCTGCTGGAGATACAGATGTTCAGAAATCACATAGACAGAATACTGTTCAGTACTTACACTCATACAGGAAAAACAGAGGGACAGATACATCTGGCATTACCTTTGAGTTAAAGCTGGATTCCAACATCTGTGCTGTGCACATGGGGTGTATTCCATGTGTTCCTGTGTGCCTAACACCTATTAGATTTACATACTGCAATCTAGACAGCACATTAACACACAAATGCGAACACGTGCTCATCTTTGCACGTATGCAATCACATCTTCTTTTTTCCAATTTTTTTTTCTTTTTTTTTTTTGAGCAGCCAAACACGCAATTTAGCCGAAAATAAAACCCGAAATTTAATCGGAAAAAAAACCATCCCCGGAGCTACAGCCAGCCTCGGCACCGAAAACCGCTCTGTGTTCCGCACGCACACCTCAAAAGAGCGGCTATCCCGCCGGCACCGAAGGGAAGGCGCTCCCCGCGGCGCCGCCTCCTCCGCGGCCGCTCCC